TTATTATTAGTAATCTCATCACTGAGGCATCCCCCATGCTTTTGTGTATTTGAGGGCACCAAATAGATTAAAGTTTTATTCTGATGGAGGCATACACAGGAACAAAGCAGCTTATGAGCACAGTAGGAAGTGGTGGTTCTCTCCTGACTAAGCCATTTTGTGCTTGGGAGAACTGCTGCCTCCTTTTTTGCAGGGATGCAATCCCTCTGGTAAGGGGTCTTCTAGACGATTGGCCATAGAAGCCTTCAGGGGTAGTTGGGACTACAGGCTACCATTGTTAATGATTTTTTTTTTTTTTTGATAACAAGGACACCAACATGCTTCTTGAGAAAAGGGACAGGAAGGCTCATTATAGCCGCAGGCAGAGGTCACTAGCGAAGGAGGACAGATTTTGCCCTTTGCTTTGATGGGAATCAGGAGGAGGAGGAACATTGTGATGGGAGGTAGAGACATCCTCTCTTCCTTATGTCTGTACTCACAGAATTCAGTTTCAGATTGTGCATCCAGTGTCCATGCTGTACAAGCTTCGTGTGTTCCTGCCTTGAATCAGGCATCTGAGTGGCTACATTTGGCCACAAAAGGCCAAGGCTAAATTGCATCCCATAGGGAACAACAAGCTTCTCAACAGATATTCTGCCTCAATAGTAGGGTTCCCAGAAAAAATACAGCACATCTTGTTCAACTACAATGTTAAATAAACAGAATATGATTATTTAAGTATAAGTATGTCTCAAATATTGCATAGGACATACTTATACTAAAAAATTATTTGTTCTCTATCTGAAATTCAAATTGAAACTGGGTGTCTCATCTTTCAATTTGCTAAATCTGGTAACCCTACATAGGGCAGAATGAGAAGTGGGGGCTTGAAAATACACCCCTTAACCCGTAACAGGCAGCCATGTTGCTGACCTCAGTCTCAGCTACAGATTGTGTGTAATGGAAGTGGGCCCTGTTGTTGCTCCCATCCTCCTGGGTTTCCTCTAACTGCCTCTATCACCACATCCATGTGAAATGGGCACGACTGGCCTGAGATGACACCCTTGGGTGTCTCAACAGGTGGTTTCAATGTGGAGGGTAGGGGAAAGGTAGCAATGATGGCCTGGGTGGCCCAGCAGTGTGGACTCTAAAGATGGGGAGGCTGATCTAGGTGGGGTATGTGCTTAGCACTCCTGGTCAGCGGACAGTTCAGGGCACTAGAGCAGGTACAGCCCCAGTGTGTCTTGGCTACACTATAAAAAGAGACAGCTTGCCTGCCTCCCACTTTCCCTTCATCTGTTCTTTTTTTCCTCACTTTCTATTCCTCCATTTGTACTTTTGCTGACCCCCCACCCCATGGTGTCCCTGTGAGGATCTGAATGGAGGTGAATAGAGTACCCAGGATTCAGGACTGTTTCTCACAGGAACACTGTGTTTATCTCAGAGCGTGTGGTGCTCCTGGGGTGGGGTGGAGATGGAGTGGGGCCATGGGCCTTCTCTCCCTGTTTTGAACTCAACAACCTTACAAATCAATCCAGGCTTTAGGAAATTCAACAAAAAACAGAAAAGCTGACATTTGCATAGCCCTTGGAGAATTCTGTCGATTCTCTTCCCTTTGAAATCATTGCTTTTGATTTCATGCATGTACTTTGCGGGATATTCAGGGTTTTTAGATGTTTATATATGGATGGTCAGCTGGAAAACTGGGACCTTAGGAAACACAGCTAGACAAAAATATTGTGGGTTGTGTCTTGTTTATGACTAGTGAGATTTTTCTTTCTTGGAGTTGCTTTTGTTGCTTTTCCAGACCATCTAAAATCTGTTCTGTCCCTCTTTAAAGACAATGCTTCCTTCTTTGATTAAGTTATAACCTTGATGAGGCTTATTGGTTTTACTTTAAAAGGTTTCTTTAGTTTAAACGTTCAAAATGTCAGCTGTTTGTCCCGGCTAAAGTTTGATCCATTCATCCTCATTCCTTTCTACTCTTTCTTCTTTGCTGATCATGGCATTTTGGCCAATCAAAGGTAGCTAACTATTCAAACTGTCTTTAAGTAAGGCAAATGCTGAGCTGTAACCAACCCAGCTGTTCCCATTTTCTGTGTCACTTTCTCTTTTCTGTCTACGAATCTTCTCAGCATTTGAGTCTCTCTGAACTTCTAGTTCAGCTGGCCAATTTGTGAATAGCGCTTTGCTTAATTAAACTCTTGTTAAATTTAATTTTTATCGTAAGTGGGTTCTGCAGGGCTCCCAGAAACCCTAGGGGTACTGAGAGTCCACGCGATGCATCTGCTGAACCTGTTAAGGCTCTCCCTGCAACCACGTTCTCTCTCAGAGTCCAAAATACCACCGATTTGTGGTTTTAACTCTCTGAGTTTGAGCACATTTTTGGTCTTATGCACAAAAGTGACAGAAACTAACCTAGATTTGGGATCAGAATGGATCTGATAATTAATTAGCTTAGATCCAGTTAGAGACCGAGAATGTCTGACGGAGTCAGACAGAGACTACTAACAGTAAATGGTAGTAAATACAACAGGGGGTACAAACTCCTGCTTTCAGGAATTCTCAGGGATTTCTGTGTTCTCTCCATTTGTTCCTTTTGCTTGGGTGAAGGAAAATCATTGCCTAAGTTGAGCATAGAGATCTGAGAAGCAGAGCCAAGTTGTTTTTTTAAAAAATTTTTTGGGATTCATTGAGGGTCCAAGAGTTAGGTTACACTGATTGCATTTGTCAGGTAAAGTCCCTCTTACAGTGTGTCCCACCTCCAAGAGGTGTGCCCTTCACCATGATCCCCCACGCCTCCTCCCTTCTCCCTCATTCCTCTACTCCACTCCTGGTATTAGCTCATCTACTGCCTTCATTAATTGAGTACATTGGATTCTTGCTTCTCCATTCTTGTGATGCTTTACTAAGAAGAATGTGTTCTACTGCCACCCAAAGCCAAATTTTAAAGTGAAAATAGGAACCCTACTTTCTAAAGAACTGAGTACTTTCTGGCTCTCCTTACCTGTACACGTGTAAGAATTAGGTCCTCAATGTGGCAAATGCTTTCAAAATGGCAAGATCTTTAAGCAAGATCTCTTGCTCTTAAAGGCAAAATTGTTGCCTAGTTAGTAATTGCTTAAAACCCTAAAATGGGTATTTAGTAGTCTGAATACAAGAATAGTAATATCTAAGAGCCAGTAAATAAAAACTCTCTGTAACAGTTATTAGAACTGCTTCTGACTCTATGTCTACAGATGTCATTTGTATATGATATTTTACTACTAGAATATATAAAAGAGCTCTAATTAGCTTGAAATAAGAAGTGATTAAATCAAATATTTTATCAAGAAGATAGAAAATAACTCAAGTGGTTTTTAGTTCACATGACTTTAAAAATACAGTAATTGACCTGTGCTCAACTTTCTTTCTGATTCTGTTATACTCTGATTCACGCTTTCTCTTTAACTATTAGTTACCATAAATCTGAACCCCTCAGAGATATTGTACATCTCCGTCAGTCATTTCTCTCCCATTCTCTGAGCTGATTTAGACTCTATAACCTTTACCCAGGGATGCACTCTTGCTCAGGACTTGTTCAGTATGTTCATAATCTTTTGCTCTGTAAACAGGGTGCTCTCTTAGGCTTGTTCTTTTAAAGACTCTGTCTAAATGAGGCCAGAGAGACCTTAAGGTCTGAACTCCAGTGGGTACAGACAATTGTTACTTACTTAGGACATGAAATTTCTCAGCACACTCTAAAACTTACCCCCAAATGCCATACGTCAAATTTGTTACAGCCCTCATTAGAACATGCACATTGGCAAAGGAAAAGCTGCCACTCTTTACACAGATTCCCAAGATGCCTGGAGTCTGCCATACGGGTGGTACAACTGAAAATCTTGTTTCTTAATTTCTGCTGATGCTCCTATTGCCAATAGATCTATAATGTCAGATAGATTGTATATTGGGCCAAACAGACTTCCTGTGGCCCCTTTTTCTTCTAATTTTTTGACAACTTGGGAATTGTTACAACCTTAGTGGGGTTGAGTGACATGTGAAAGGCCACCCACTCGGGTGACAGAGCTGGGTTTTACTATTTGGCCAACACTTTTTCACTCCACTGGGAGGAAAGTGGAGGTCACACAGGTGTGTGAACTGGTGGGGAGAGGAGAATGGATCCTGAGGCCTGGGGTGAGGGGAGCTGGGCATGGGGCCCTCATCCAGTTGTTCAATTTTATGAAGAATAGGTTTGAGATCTGGAATGCTTGGCCTGCTCACATGAGGGTCAGGGGCAAGGGAGGGGAGACAGTATTT